CTAAATAAGTATAGGTAATCGCATGGGGCCGAGTAAAATTAAGGATTAATATCACGCGTGTTTTCGGAAGTTGCTGAAATTGCCCGAGTCGCGCAGCGACGAGGGCAATTTCTGCAACTTCCGAAAACACAAGTGATATTAATCCTTAATTTTACGAGGAACCATGTGATTACTTGTTTATAATATAAGGGGCAAAATGTTTTCTTACTGATCTCGCGCAAAACGGGACGCCATTGGTACAAAAAAAACAGAAATTTCTTTACCTTGGCAACCGTTGCTAAGCGATTTTCAGCCAATCATTTTCAAGTAATTTTGCCCGGGGCAATTACAAAAATTAAGAAAAAATGCCCTCTGTCTTGACCAATCACAATTCAGTAATTTTGCCCCTTATATGATAATGGATACAAACAGAGACTCGGCCCACCAGTCCCAAAACGGAGACAATTTTGCTACCCTTGGGCTAGAGTTCTTAAATGAGGCAGAAAAAGAGTGGATCTACCGAGCGATCGATCGGCCGCAGCAATGGTTTTCAGCGTGGGTAAATTTGTATTATAAAACCTCTTTGATCTGTACTCTGCTCGTATGCAGTCGAAGCTCTCTTAAGTGGACACCCTCGAGAAGCGAAAAAAGTGGCCGCAAAAAGTGCCGAAAAAAGTGTCCGTAAAAAGTGTCCGCTCACAAGAATGGGAAAATACGGAGGCTATTACGTTTAATATCTTTCAAATATTTTATCAACCTACGGGCCACGAGCTAACTTACTTCATTCGTTATCACGGAGGAAATTGAAATCTGTTGATATCCGCGGCGGGGAAACATGGAAACATTCTACGCTCTTGGATAGTGAAACTTTTAAGAGTTTAAATGTTTTTGGAGATCAAAACAGATGACATTTGCATACTTCATCGAGGAATTTATTAGATATTTAAGTTGACACTTCAGGCAGTGGTAATCGTAACAATAGCATTCTCACTTCCCGCCTGCCTGTTTCTACGATAGATCCAGCTCTTGATACGGGCTCGTAGACGACCCAAAGTGAGCAGCCGCTGCTGGGAAAGTCAGCTTATCATGTATCGAAGATTATGGTTACAAATGTAATGTCCTTAGTACCTAAGATTGATGAGGTGCAGGAATTTTTTCATCGAAGCAAGGCCGGTCTGGTATTCATTACTGAAACTTGGCTGAAATCAAGTATCCAAGACTCTGTTATTGACATTTCTGGTTATACCATTCTACGAAAGGACCGGTCCTTAGATAACCACGGCGGGATCTGCATCTACTTGAAGGATGATGCTTTTAAATACAATCGGCTTGATGAACTCTCGTGCTGTGATGAGCATGAAACGTTATGGGTACAGCTACGCCCCTCTCCTCTTCCAAGGGGCTTTTCCTCCTTAATCGCAGCAGTTATATATCATCCCTTCTGGTCAAAGCCCGAAAACGATTTAATGCGTGATCACTTATTCAAATCATTCTCCTTAGCTGAGTCTAAATCTCCTAATTGTGCTTTGACCGTGGCTGGCGATTTTATTCGCCTTGATGTCAAGTCGATACAACGCCACTTTCGTCTGAAGCAAATTGTAGAGAAGTCTACAAGAAAAAATGCAATTCTCGACTTGGTGCTTACTAATTTTCACGAATTCTACGGCACTCCACAATCGTTTCCACCTTTTGGTCTCTCTGATCATGACACTTCAGTCAAGGTAGTACTCAAACGAGACGAATGAGAAAGCCGGAAAGCTGAACTAGGCCGATATCTAAATTCCATGGACTGGTCTTGCTTGTTCGCGAACGCTGAAAACTGCCAGGACATGGTAAATGTATTCCAGAAAGTGATACAAACAGGACTGGACTGCCTGATGCCTTTGAGAACAGTCCGTGTCAATACATCTGATGTCCCATGGATGACCCAGCACTTCAAATGACACTTCAGTCAAGGTAGTACTCAAACGAGACGAATGAGAAAGCCGGAAAGCTGAACTAGGCCGATATCTAAATTCCATGGACTGGTCTTGCTTGTTCGCGAACGCTGAAAACTGCCAGGACATGGTAAATGTATTCCAGAAAGTGATACAAACAGGACTGGACTGCCTGATGCCTATGAAAACAGTCCGTGTCAATACATCTGATGTCCCATGGATGACCCAGCACTTCAAAGGTCTTATATTGAAAAGGAAAAAGGCCTTTCACACTCATGGTGTGGAATCAGCGTAGTACAAGTTCTTTAGGAACATTGTAAATCGCGAGAGGGAAAAGTCCAAAGGGAACTTCTATAAGACCAAAATTGCGCATGCGAAGGATGACAATCCAAAGTTATGGTGGAAAGAAGTGAAGCGGCTCTGTGGCGCCAAGTCCCACTCAGGCGACTTGAAACACCAGATTCAAATAGAAGGTGTCAAGCATCTGTCGGACCAGGATCTAGCTAATATGATCAACAAAGCTCTTTTGGAGCCTCTTGAGGAATATCGCCTGACGCAACCACTGGTCAAGATACCCATTGAGATTGATACGCCAGATCTACATGAAATATCAGAACTACGGATTCTACGGTTACTATCTAAGCTCAACCCATCAAAGGCGAGTGGCCCGGACGAGGTGCCAAATTGGCTCTTGAAGGAATTCGCGGATTTTCTTGCTTTCCCAGTCAGCAAAATCATGAATGCGTCTCTTAGAGAGCAGTGCTTGCCGCATATGCGGAAACTTGCTGATGTGACCCCCCTACGCAAGAGGAAGCCTGTAGAAGATCTCATGAAAGACTTGAGACCAATTTCACTGACGGCATGCCTCTCTAAGGTGGCAGAGGAATGTGTTGTAAGTGATTACGTCAAACCAGCCGTCTTGAGAGTTTTGGATCCAAACCAGTATAGGCTTGTGCCGAACTCCTCTGCAACCCAAGCTCTGATTCACATGATTCACCGATGGGCACAAGCGACTGACGGAAACGGCGCCACCGTGAGAGCCACACGATATGATTATAGGAAGGCTTTTGATCTTAAAGATCATGACATTTTAGTTAGGAAGCTGACCGTCTTGGAGATACCAAAACAGATAATTAATTAGATCATAGATTTTTTATCGGGTCGTTTTCAGCGAATTAAACTTGCAAAGGGTTGTTTTTCCGAGTGGGAGTCAGTTCCGTCCGGCGTCCCACAAGGAACAAAGCTAGGACCGTGGTTATTTCTTGTGCTTATTAATGATCTTGAAGTAAGTAGTGGCATAAATGCCGAAATGTGGAAATATGTTGATGACACTACGACCTCAGAAGTTGTCATCGAAGGAAAGGCAAGTATTTCGCAAAAGATAGCTGACCGTGTAATGGAGTGGTCCTCTAAAAATAGAGTACAACTGAACAATGATAAATGTAAAGAGCTTCGAATTACTTTCAGTAAACAAAAGCAGGACA